ATACCACACCTTTAGAAAAAAAAAAAAAAAAAAAAAAAGAAAGAAAGAAATCATTTAGTCCCTCTCCCCCAACTCATCCCACAGATAAGGAAAAATGTTTCAGAGAGGTGGTTAGAAATGACCCATCTCCATCCCACACTTTACTGCTGACTATTACATTACAAAGAACAATGAAAGCAAGTCTTGGACTGCACTCAGCCACAGAGAGACACTCGCTCCCACGCAGGCACCAGAAAAGTCCGAAAGCCATCCCCAGAGGCGCAGGTGAGCCCCCAGTTGCTGCCCACTCTACTGCTCCACAGCAGCCTCTGCAGGGAAGGCCTCTCTGAGGCAAGTGCCTCTATATTATGATGTAATATGATGACACCAGCTAGCCTTCCAGCCTTCTAGAGCAAGCAATAAAATCCTCCTTGGTTAAGTGAGGGGTTCTGGAACAAATGAAGTTCTAGATCAGGGCGCGTGAATTCGGAAACGTAATGTTGCCAGTTTGACTTTTTGCCTTGTTCTTGAAAAGGCAGAGAGATGCCGTGGGTGCCTGAAATCCCGTCTCGGGGGAGAAGAGATTGCAGTGTGGCCGTCCCCCCCCCGGGGGGGGTGATTTCTCTTTCCTTCTCTCTGACTCTGTCTCTCTCCAGCAAGTGCATGCATCCTATGACAAAAACTTAAAAAAAAAAGAAAAGAAAAAAAAGTGTGGCATGTTAGATGATGCAGAGAATACTTAGCAGCCAATAAAATAATGTGTGAAAAAATAAATAATAACATAGAACAATATTAATCATCATTTGGCAAAAGGCTCCAATGCTGAACCAAAGACTGGAAGGAAGTCTCGTACACGAGACAGGAAGAAGCGACAGAGAACAGGACTGCTTCCCGTGACTGATGGCAGCTTGCAGTGAGCTGAACTAAGAAACAGCACCCAAGGGTTTGCCAAGTACATGTGATCTATTACAGTATCAGCTTGCTTTGCCATATATACGTCTTATTATTTTTTTGTGTTTAGAAAGAGAGATTTTGCTAGAGGGGCGTGCACTTGCCAGAGAGAAAGAGAGAGAGAGAAAGTGAGAAATCACCCACGGGGACGGGGAGGGGAATGGCCACACTTCACCCATTCTCCTCTCAGGATTTTGAGTACACATGCACACGCGCCCAGTGTGAGTTTAAAGAACCACACCACTGTTAGCATGATTTCTCTAAAGATACAACATAATGGTGTATCTCCTATAACAAAGTTAGCTGCCTGCCCTCATGCACCCAGCATGAGTTGTTGTTGTCGTTGTCTTTTCTTGAGAGGTTTTTGCTCTATGGTGCATGCACTCACCAGAAATACAGAGACAAAGAGACAGAAAGTGAGAAATAACCCCCCAGGGGGGATGGCCATACCACAATCCCTTCTCCTCCATTCTCCTCTTGGGATCTTGGGCACGTATGCACAAGCACCTGGCTTAAGTTTAATCCACTGAATCTGGGACTAGAACTGCGGTCGATTACATGGGAGTCCAGCAACATAGCCATTATGACATCTACTGGTCCTCCAAGCATGAGTTTTAAACCACCAGGTCCGGGACTCAAACCGTGGTCAACTACATGGGAGTCCAGCGATGTGACCATTATGCCATCTGCTGGCCCCCATCTTAAGTTATCTTTATAAATTCCATCTCCATGGGGCCGGCAGGTAGTGTGTTGGTTAAGGTGCTAGACCCCCCACGTGGGGGATTACATGGGAATCCAGCTCCTTAACCACCATTCCACCTGCCAGCCCCTGTTATTATTAATTCCCAATTCATCAGAGAGAGACAGAGAAAGAGAGGGGAGATGAGAAAGCAAATCAATTGGTCTGGAACTCAAACTACGTTTGGCCATGTGGGAATCCAGCGGCTCTACCACCATGCCACGCGCTGCCCTCTCCCCATCTGTTAATCATTTTCTTCAGAGTTATTTCCTTCAATTTTCCATTCAAACTTAATATTTGATTTTCCTAATCATCAGTAATTGCTAGGAATTACACATTCTTGGCTATAAGTATTTCTCCAAAAGCATAATTGAGAAGAGTTACCTCTATATCCAGTTAATAAACAAAGTTGCTCACCAAGGAACAGACTGACCAGCCAGATATCAGATACTTAAACTATTTCTTTTTTTTTTTTTCTATTATAGTTATTTTCAATTTTACCAGAGTGAGACACACACACACATACAGAGAGAGAGAGAGAGAGACAAGCCACCAGGTCTGGGACTCAAACTGTGGTCAGCCATGTAGGAGGAGTCCAGCACCCCTAACCACCACACGGCCCATCCTGGATCTTTTAAAGTATTTCTCTAGAAAATACATTTGTAATTTTGCACAGGACTGTCTGCTGTTCAGTCTGTGCTTTCCCTTGTAGACTATTGTTACTCTGTAAGATCGTATTTCTCTCTGCTGTGGAAATCATATATAATAAGGAGATTTCACAGAGTGGGGTTTTGATTCTGTGTCATGGAGCGTTTATGAAATTAGATCTTTTATTAGGTGAAGAGGATTTTGTTATCTGAAGAGCCTGCTGAGAAACGGAGCGGCAAGGGCTCAAGGGTAAACTGCACATAATTGTACCTTTTCATCTTGCTCAAAAGCTCACAAAGCACCAGCATTCCAAAAGGAAGAAGGATGCTGTTTTCTTGTGTGTGTGTGTGTGTGTGTGTGTGTGTGTGGTTTAGATTTTTGCTGTAGTGTGCTTGCCAGAGACAGACAGAAAGAAGGAAAATGAGAAATTGCCGCCAGAGAGTATGGCCACACCGCAATCCCTCTCCATTCTTCTCTCAGGACTTTGGGCACGCACACACTCACTCATACCTGGCATGTTTCTCAAGCCACTGGGTCCGGGACTTGAACCACACAGTGAACTATGTGGGATCCAGCACCTTAACAACCATACTGTCTGCTCCCCTTAGTAATTTTTATATATTAAGAATAAAGGGTATGAGTGCATGCATGCCCAAAATCCCAAGAGGAGAATGGAGAAGAAGGGACTGTGGTGTGCCCATTCCCCCGAGGGGTGGTTTCTCATTTTCTCTCTCTCTGTGTCTCTGGCAAATGCACATACACTATAGAAAAAAATCTCTGTTAGAAAAGAAAAGAAACAGAAGAAGAAAGGCAACATTGGTAATAATGGAAAAAATAAGGCTGAAATGAGAATAAAATAAACTGAAATGTTTTAGGTTTTTGCTTTTGCTTTTAGATTTAATTTTACTTATCATTACCATTTTTTTTAATTTGCTGCACAGCGCATATGCTCACAAGAGAGAGAGAAAGTGAGAAAGCAAGCCGCCAAGTCTGGGACTCAAACTATGGTCAGTCATATGAGAGTCCAGTGCCTTAACCACCATGCCACCAGCTGCCTCCTTGTTTTTTTCTTTTTTTAAGTTAACTTATATCTTCCAAGCGAGAAAGATGCACCTTCAATAGGGTCTTCACACTGCAATCCACCCTAGCCTTAGCCAGCTGGGATCATGGGTGCAGATATGTGCAGGGAGGCCCGAAGATGCAAACCCAGAACCTCCCCACGTGGGTCAGCCGCACAGAGGCATTTTTCCACTATGCCACCACCTGACCCCAGCAGCTTTCATACTTCCAAGGGTATCACTGTAGTACTTTGTTTGGCCTTTGCTCATCGTGTTGTTTTTTGGCTGAGATTTTATTTCCTGTATGTTGTTATCGCTGCTGTTGTTAGAGTTGATTCTTTTTGGTTTCCCTCAAAAGCCTATTGATTCTTTGCCGTTCACTTGTGTTTAGAATTGGGAGCTAGGAAGCTAAGCAGACACTGAGCATTGTAGCTGGTCTTATCCAGAAGTGGGGCTCACATGGGTGATCTGCCAGAGCTCTTCTGTCACAGGGTCCTGACTATTAATATATTGAGATCTTCTCTGGGCTGATTCCCCAAAGAATCTTCCAGTTTTCTGCCTGGAGGTTATGAGCCTGGATCGAGCAGTGTTCTGGGGGGCAATGGGAAGTTGGTGAGTCTCTCAGTTCAGTGTATATGTTTTCTTTTATTTTTGCCCAGACAGATTTTTGCTATAGGGTGCATGTGCTCTCTGGAGAAACAGAGACAGAAAGCTAGAAATCATCCCCCGTGGGGATGGCCACACCACAGTCCTTTCTCCTCCGTTCTCCTCTTGAGATTTTGGGCACACGGGCACACACACCCGGCCTGAGTTCTATCTAAGTCACTAGATCTGAGACTCAAACTGCAGTCAACTATGTGGGAGTCCAGCGATGTAACCATTACGCCATCTGCAGGTCCCTTAGTGTACAGATTTTCATGTAACGACCTGCCATTTTCAATGCCGAGTCTCCTATTCTCAGCTGCCTGGGGTCCCAGGTCATTGTCTCTCTAGCTTACCCCTCCAGAGACCAAACCTCTAGGCCTCTCTAGGAGGAGTGGAGAAAAGGAGTTGCTGATTGTGCACAGGTCGGAAGGGGATGCAAAATGTGGTTCTACCCTATTCTTAAACAGAATTTCGGCCATGATTACATTTTCCAGCCTGCTCTCCTCCTCCTCCTGTTGCCCCTCCTTCCTGAGCTGAGCTGAGGTTATGGAGTACAAGTCTTTTTGCTTCTTGGTTAAATTTTAGTTTTCCCAGGGCTGCAACATCAGCTACCATTAGTTTACCTACTTCCTGGCTTGCAAAATTTTGTTGCCTTTGTCACCTTTCTTATTCTCTTTGTCTTTGTGAGTTTATGCTTTAGAGAAACCCTATAATTGGGACCAGCAGATGACATAATGGTTAAGTCACTGTATTTCCACATAGACTACTGCAGTTCAAGTCCAGGACCCAGTGGCTTAAAACTCACATTGGGCATGTGTGCGTGCATGCCCAAAATCCCAAGAGGAGAATAGAGGAGAAGGGATTGTGGTGTGGCCATCCATTCCCTTGTACATTCTTTAGGTGTTTAAAATGTTACAGAGAGGAGCTAGCAGGTGGCATGGTGAATAAGGTGCTGGACTCCCACACGACCAACCATGGTTTGATTCCTGGACCTGGTGGCTTGCTTTCTCATTTTCCCTTTCTCTTGCTCTCTCTCTTTAGTAAACTTTTAAAAATAACAATAATGAATAAAAATAAATAAAGATAAATAAAGAATTCTTAATTTAAATAAAAAAGTTTAAGAGAGCCAACTAGTCCCAATTACTCATGAGGCAGAGCCAGAAGGATCAAAGCCAGCCTGCACAACATAGTGAGGCCCTGACACTAAGAAAACAGTTTAGAAGAGTTTGATCTTCCACATTTTTAAGTTTACTTTATTAGAAC